CACCTATTACTTTTTTCGACACAAAATGATATCTTTCAGATTTTAGCCGGACCGACTTTTTCGTCCCCATTCAGGTTTTGGGACCGACTTTTTAGATATATTTCACAAAACATAGGGGGGTGTCACACCCCCCCCCCCCCCCCCCCCCCCCCCCCTAATGTGCGCCCCTGGATAGGTGGAGACTGTTTGAAATCTACAGTGATCGTAAATTAAGACCTTTCGTATTAAGACTTTTCGTTGAGTGGCACAAAAATATGCAACAAGAAGATAAATTAGTATATAGGTAATCATTTTATAAGTATATCTTTTGCGACGATCGATTAAATAATAGTCGATTAGATTTGGTAATGACTAATTATTAATATTTCTAAGATTAATAAGATTTTAATTACTAATAGCTGATATGATATTTAGTTTCCAAGAAACAACTTTCTATATTAAGATTATATATATTTCAGCTTCAACAAGTTTGCTGACAGAAGTCTAAAGCTGTTCATGATGCAGAGTTCAAAACTTTCTCGTAGTTTCCTGCTGTTGGTACTGATTCAATGTATCTCCGAATCTGGAGGTTGGTGGGGGTGGTGGTTCCGTCCCAGAACTGGCAACAGAAAAAGTACTAACACGGGCAAACAAATTACAGGTTAGATATTTACAGAGTCAGTTGACTCGGTAAGAATTTTCTTCAAAAGCTCAACGTTTGAAAGGAATGGTTGCTGGGTTTCGTAGATCAACGTTTTGAGTGGATTTTTTTATATTTATTAGACGTAACCAGGAGCAGTTGCGAAAAATGCAATTTCGGCCATCTGGCAGCAATCGAACCTTCCGCCATGCGATTCCGGTGGAGCGCTCTAAGCAACTGAGCGTCAGTTTTCGAGCTGTAACCACAAGTTCATATATACCCTGTAAATACTAAGGTGATTTCAATGTACGGTCTATGAGTAAATATCAGGAGGTCGCGTTTCTCACTCCACATAATGTATAAAAAATTTCATTCGAATTTTTCATCTACCATCTACCTTTAACCATTAATCCCCGAGCCGACGGCGCGAAGCGCCGTGCGAGGGTACTAATTCCCCCCGGCTATTTACACCCGGGGAAAGGAAAGCATTAGCAGAGTCTAAAGTTCATCAAATATCGCGGGCGTGGGTCACCAACAGTGTTGGGTGGGTGGTCATCCTCACTGACCTCAAAAATATGGCGCGGGCTGTCATGAATAGTGGCCACTGAATGGTCCAATTTAAAGTTTGCATAAACGACTGCATCACGACAGCGAAATAGCAAACATTTCTTGATTTGATGATTCCTGATTGATAAATTTCTTGCGAATATATTTCGTTTTTACTCGCATTTTTGCAATATTTTGTAAATTTCAAAAGCTCTCTCAGAAAGAAACTGCGAAAGAATCAGCTTAAAGAAGGGAGCCGACGTTAACGAAGGTAAGTTTGTTTTAAATATTGATTTTATAATGGCTTTAAAACCCGACCGCCTTTGCGTACGCGTATATGAAACAACTATATATAAACAAGACAGAATATAATTTCAGTGCATCTTTAATATTGATTCCCTTTTTTATTATATTGAATTTTTTAAATAAAAAAGAATTCAAAGCAAAGTTATTTGCAAGCGAGAATTTGAAATTTTTTTATTGCGAACTCAAAATTTATCGATTAAGCCATTTAATTAAAGGCAGTTTAGTTTTATAAAGAACTATTTAAAACGTTTTGCGAAGCGTTTGGGGTTGAATTTCACCTTAAATTCAGGCTTATATTACGTATAATAGCATACCCAACATATATATGTTGTGTTTAAAAGTGATATTTTTAAGCGATTTTTCATTTGTAAAAATTATCGTGTTACCATGACAACTACTCTAGAACTTCATGTTCGGAAAATACAATGGTTTTGTCAGCAAGGCGAGGGTTTCTGCATGCATGTATTTTCTATTTATATAGAGTAAAATGCCCAAAATTCTGAAATTCGGATATTTTGTTCTATTCATTAAAAATTTATACTAAAACAATTATTCGCCTCAGGCTCAGTGATTACGGTGAATATTCACCTCGATTTCGTCTCGGTGAATATTCACCGGTAATCACTTCGCCTTCGGCGAATAATTGTTAAATATAGCATAATATCTCTTTCACATCACAAGCCATTCGCATCTCGGCGAGTATTTACCCCCCCCCCCTCTCTTTTAAATAAAACCCACCATTAAAATCTCACAAAAAAACCTTTCGAACGGGGGTCAAGTGCCGTCAAAACATCACACAAACCGAAACAATCATATATTTACTCACCGCATTGACCAAAGATTCTAAATTTCATATCCAGAAAAACTCTTTGTATTCAAGCGCTTTCGTGTACAAAGTTTCGTTTGAATACGACGAGTAGAAATATTTATTTTAAATTTTTCAAGATGTCGGGTTTTACTCGCACTTGCGTACATTGCGCAATAAATGGCCAATAAGAAGCTCCTGTGGCGGGGATGACGTCAAACTCGCGCGTGTAAGTGCAATTTGACCTTGCGAATCCATTACTGACCTTTCCAGGGCCATACGATACAAACTTCGCATTGTTTTGACGGTTTTCGTCGTATTTAAACAAGTACTCTACTGTATTTTAACGTGGAAATCGGTAACAAAACCGAAGAGTAGTTAAAGTCTTAGACTTAGTTATTGTGGGATTTTTAGTCAAGAAAGCACACCTTGAGTACATGTAAATGACTATTGTATAAGATCAACTTCATGTGTCTAATTTTTATCAATTACAATTAGTTTGTGCTAAATGGCGTAAAGTCGAACTAGAAACATTTTCCGTATGTCTTCCTCCTTGCAGATTGTTGTAGACCTGTAGTTAGCTGTTTCAGAACCATGAAACCAGTGGCGTAACGGAGGAACACAGGGCCCTTGGGCATATTTTGTGTCGGGGGCCCTTTCAGTCATACATATATCGTTAGTGACGAAACGCACCGTACGTGTCTCACGGCGCAACCTTCCTAGGGGGGTCGGTCGTTTTTTTCTTTTTTTCGGCTCTCTTTTGTGCCCCAGATATGTACTTTCGCTTTCCAGCCATCATGACCGACATTTTGTTTTGGATTTTTAATTTGGACGTACATATTGTAATAACTAATAAGAATAACTTTTGTTTTATTTGAGATAAAATAAAATGTCAGTTGCCACTGTCGATGTTTATTGCCACTGTCGATGTTTATTTATTGTAATACCGTATAACCGCATTAATCTAAATCATGACCGTATAAATCTAAATTTGGTGGGGGCCCCTCGGGGCCCCCTAACAGTTGGGGGCCCTTAGTTATTGCCCTAACCCTACCCTATGTGCGTTACGCCACTGCATGAAACTAGATTCGCTGCAGAGAACAACGAAATGAACGGCGGTCTACACAAAAATTCCCAAGATCTGGAACGATCTTAATTATTTTCTTTTCTATATTTCTATTTGAAGGAACGTGCAGCGCCACAGGTGATCCACACTACAGGACGTTTGATGGTAAATTGTTCCACTATGAAGGCAGATGTAGTTACGTCCTATCAGAAGATGTTGATAACACATTCAAAGTTTACTCTGAGAATGAACCATGTAATGGTGGCAGATTTGCGTGTACAAAAGCAATTACAGTCAAAGTTAAAGAATTAACCATGCATGTTGCACGAGGTGGTAATGTGACTGTGTTTGGTATTGCTGTTAGATTACCATACAAAAAACAAGGTAATTAATCATAATTTAGAGTGAAAAGTATTTATATTTAGTAATTCAGGGACCGCGGAGCCGTTTAAAAGGGGGGGGGGGCAGTATATCACGGAAGCTATGCCACGTAGGCAGGCTGTATTTTATCCGGGAATTTTTTTATAACGGTAATTGCATGGTTATACTGGTAAACTATAGTACGATATGATGGACGATAATCGTATATAACCTAATCATTAACATACTTTAAAAGTAACGACAATACAATACAATTTAGTTTATATTTAACTTTCTTGATTATTCAATTTCTTTACTAACAATATACATAAAAATATTTCTCGACTGTGATTTGTTGATTTCAGTACAACAATGCAAAACCTGTAATCACAGTGCAATTTTTTGTAATCACAGTGCAATCTCTTGTAATCACAGTGTCATTTTCTGTTATCACAATGCAAAAATCTGTAACAAACTGATCTTATTTGTGGAAAAAGAATGTGATGATCAAATCGACCAATCAGTTTAAAGCAGTTCTCAAGTAATTTAACTGTCACGGATTGCTTCAAAGCAGAACAAACATGGTGCCCCGCTACATAAAGTATAAGTTGACTTCGGTTAGAAAATATGGCCTTTATTTTTTTTTAAGGAAAAACCTTTACCTTGACAAAACTAACAGAACTTATTTAAGTGGAATTTTCAAGCTTTTTGCGTTGTATAATTTGATATAACAAAGCCAGGAAAATTGTCTCCAATTGTCTTGAACATTTTTATGCATATTATTAACAGGTAATAGGATGGTTCCTCATGAAATTTGGATAAAACTAGCGTTCGTGAGTTTTTCAAAGACCTCAAATAGCACTCGTCGTTCGGACTCGTGCTATTTTTGATGCTCTTTGACTGAAAACTCACTGGTGCATGTTTTATTGAAATTGCGCTCGAAACCATACTATTGGCGATTACCTACAAAAATTTGAATATCATTGTATTATTATACGGATAACCCGTTGAAACATATGGCTTCTGCAGTAAACAGTAAATTATATTACGCCATGTGCATGTAAATTGGAAAATCAAATAATACGATAGTTCGTTTGCAATTTGCCTCAATTGCTGGTTCAAGAACAAATTTGCCTAAATATTTACTGTAATGTTTGCCTGGTTTAATTAGTTACTGCCTATATTCTGCATTTTCGTATGCTCTCACTGGCAGTAGTGAGATATTTGTATGTACTAGAGTTAAATTAATAAACAGATTTCGTAAAAGCTAACCTCTGTACAAATATTGAAAATGCAGAATAGGTAATAGCTGAAATCAGGACGACATGCATTGCACAAAATAATTCGACAGCCTTTGTTTTGCAATCAGCGATTGAGGTAAGGTGCAAATGACCTATTTGATTTTCAGATTTTCTGATCAACAACGTCGCGTTATACAATTAACTGTTTAATTTAAAGTTCAACTCATATCTCAACGTGATATAAAATGCGGAAAGAAATCATTTTTAGCACCGGTAATAGCATGGTTTCGGGTGCAATTTGCACGAATGAGTGTTTCAAAGACTATCAAAATAACGCGAGTGACAAGTCCGTACCATTCGTTCAGAAAAAGAAAACATTTCCGTGTTTACATACAGTTCTAGTATTGCACCAAACTACCAAAAGGATTTTGGCCCAGGAGGCAAAAATTGCTGAATCCTTAAGCTTTTTCAAATCGATACTAAAACAAAGAATGAGTTGAAACTTGCTTGTAAGTGTATGATCGTGCATTTAAAATCACCTGTAATATTTGTTAAATTTTTGTAAAAAGTTACTTTCTTGTAGATTTCACACCTCTGGTGGAAATTACCAGCCTTTCAACGGAGACCAGCGTGGTTTAAATAAAGTTTTGTATGCATGTGTGTGTGTGTAGAAACAAATGTACAGGGAAAATGTTTTCTATTTCATTTATAATAAAATTCAAGAAAAGTTTTTGGCCCATATTTCAAATCGATTAATTTGATTAATGGCGCTTCTTTACCCCTTAACTTTGAGCACAAAATGGTCACGTTTTCCTCTATTAGTTATCATGCGCACCGAAGGGCGTAAACGAAAGTATATTCAGTTATTCAAATTTTTCAAACATAAGCAATTGAATTCCGATTGGTTCCACATGTAACATGTGCAAATGCATATTGTTTGTAAAATGTGCGACTTTATAATGCTGTTCCGGTTCCACAATTTCGAAGCCATATATATATATATATATATATATATATATATCGCATCGTGCGAAAATATGTTTGCATATAGAAAGTTTTCATTCTCGTGCAGACATAGGCTAAGTGGTATGTCCCATTCCAAGTATGTTAAACTATTTAAACAAAAAATATTTGAATCTTATTATAAAACTTCTCCAGACACAAGAGTGACAAGAGAATACACAAATTAGTCTTTCAGCCTTCAGAATCCAAAAACAGAACCATAAACAATTCTAGCACCCGATACATTTTCTATCGATTTAAATTAAAATCGTTTCACTCTGGCTCGCCGTGTTATGCTTCAATGCTGAAATATCGTCGATATGTCCCCGCTATATATCTCGTAATGTCATTTGATTAACGATCAGATTTAAATAATGAGCGTAACACGTCAGATTTGACGAATCAACTTGTAGGATTTGTTATCTCGACAACCGGTTTCATATTACATTTCGATTCAATTTTTCTAATATAAATATCTCAGCGAGTATTTACCCCCCTTTTAAATAAATGCCACCATTGAAATCCTCACGAAATAACCTTTCGAACGGGGGGTCAAGTGCCGTCAAAACATTACACAAACCGAAACAATCATATATTTATACTCACCGCTTTGCCAAACATTCAATCGAGCAAAAGAGAAAAAGTTGAATATATTCTAAAATTCGGCGTCATTTTCTGAAAGGATATATGTGTAAAATACTCTTTGTATTCAAGCGCTTTAGTGTAGAAAGTTTCGTATGAAAACGGCGAGTAGAAATATTTATTTTGAATTTTTCAAGGTATCGGGTTTTACTCGCACGTGCGTGTATTGCATAATACTTGGCCAATAAGGAGCTCCTTTAGCCGGGATGACGTCAAACTCACGCGTATAGGTGCACTTTGACCTGTAGAATCCATTTCTGGCATTTCCAGAGTCACACGATACAAACTTCGCATTGTTTTGACGGTTTTTCGTCGTATTTCCGGTTTGGGATTAACGCAAATTCGGAGCAGAAATGCAATATTCGCGATCGGCAACAAAAGTCGCATTTTAAGATAGAAGCTTGAAACTAACACTATTCACCTTTTGGGCAAAGACAAAATGGCTTCCCGTTTCGTTCCGGTTACAGGCAAACGATTTTCTCAATGTTTATGGAACATAAATACAAATTGTTTAAGAGCGTTTTCGTTGTTTTTTGTCATTTTTGTTTTGTTATGCATTATTCACCTCCACTTTGGTAAATAATGTACTGTACGATTAAATATATTGTCTTCTCCAGAAAGAAAGAAAGAAAGAAATAGTTAGTTTTGTTTTCGCGTGAGTCTAGTTTCAGCAGAATATCATGCTGCCCATTGTGCATTTACCATTTCTTTATGCTCTTTAATTTATTATCAAGGAAAGAGGCAGCATATTTTTTTCTTTTTTCTTTGAAAGAACAAGTAAACCATATATAAAGCACTTTTACCGTTTTTTCATATTTTGTTTACTTCTACAAATATTTTAATGCAAAGAAATGAAATGTCCGCCATCTTGGATTTTTGTAGATATGCATGTTACACGTCTGACAAAAATGCTTGCTAAGGCGCAAACGTGCTTCAACTTCTTCAATTTTCATCCTGTTTCTATAAAATTTCCCGTAAACGTAGCACATATTACTCTTACAAATCGTATGGTTTTTGTTTTTCGAATTGCTACATTTTTGGCGGGAAATGACGTCACAAACTTAGCGCCAGAAAATTAACAGTTAGCTATTGGTTATTTTATGCACTAATTCGGTAGACGACATTGAGAGAGTCTTAAAACTGAAATCTGTTTCGAATTACAACCATTCCTTGCGAAGTTATCAGGACTCAAATTTCTAAAAATCGGCCATTTTCTTCTATTTTTAGTAACAAAATGGCCGTTTTTCGACATTTGTAGCGCTATATTTTCGCGAAAATTTTTCGTATTTAGAAACGGAGTTCAGTTTTATGATTCTCTCAATGTCGTCTACCGAATAAGTGCATAAAATTAACAATAGCTAACTGTTATTTTTTAGCGCCAAGATTGTGACGTCATTTTTCCGCCGAAAATGTAGCAATTTGAAAAACAAAAACCAAGCGATTTGTAAGAATGACATGTTCTATGTTTATGAGAAATTTGTAGAAACAGGATGAAAATTAAAGAAGTTGAAGCACGTTGGCGCTTTGGCATGCATTTTTGTCAGGCGTGTACGTCACAACAAGGGTAACGCAATATTTTTATCTAGACAACCACTAATCATTTGCACTCAAAATTATACTCTGTATGCCCATGGAAATATCAAGATCACTTGAAACCTTTAAACATCTACCAATCAATATTTGTTCAGCAACGAATACTTTTTGCTGCCTTGTAGAGGCAGCATACTACGTCTATCGGACCCAGTCTTTCCTCGAGTTATGTGGAGGAGAATTTTGAACAATGGATTGATGACGTTTTGTGACGTATGATTCGAATTCCAGCATAACTTCCGCTTTATTTCTAAACGCCTCTTCGCAGGCTACCTTCTTTGTGCAGTCTTGGACTCAGTGATGTGGTGGCAAGTTGACAACGATTTTTCAAAAAATATCGAATATTATCGTCGTTTTGGTTTTGTCGTTTCAAAGTAAGTTATCCTGAAATGTTATATCTATATATTTATGTTGTATTGCTGTAGGTTACTGTAATATACATCCACTGTACACTCTGCAGTGAGAGTGTTTTTGATGTTTTGACAAATTAGTACATTTCTATCCCCTCTAGGTGTGTTCGTGGGGATCTTTTGGTCAAATCAAATGAAAGAGGCCAT